TGGAAATAAATCTGGTTTCTGATTTGCATTGTATCATACTTTATGTCTGTGGTGAGAAAACTCATGGTAATCACCATAAAGGCTTCAGAGTAGACTCATTGGTGAAACAAAAAAATGGTGTTGCCTTTTTGTTATTTAGGTTTGTTTGAGCATTAGAGTGGATTATTAGGCTGCCAGCGTGGACAGGGATAAGACTGCTGGATCAGTCACTGTCATTGTGTCAAGATGTGCTGGGTATTGTTGTAGAGCTGCGTTTCACCCACACAAACATACTGTTGTAATGAGTTATTTATATCACTGATCACTGCAGATGGGAGAAACAATGAGGAAAGAGAGCTTGTGCTGAAGAGAAATAACATTCAACTCCTGATGTGTGCAAGCAGGTGCTAGTGGAAATGCATGGCCATTTTGCAGAGGATGTGAATCTGACAGATACATACGCCCGCACACACACACGTAGGCCTTGAACAGATGTAGTGTGCTGTATTAGTGCAGAAGGGTGTAACATTAACCCTGGCCTGCTGTCTCTCTGGGACCTGTCTCTCTCTCTCAGCTGCTAGGGTGCCAGACAGGCCCTGATTTCCTGTGTGCTGCCCACACTGAGCGCTGGGTGCATGAGCATTGGTCATTCTACACCCTGTTTAAGGGGGGCTTCAGGCATCCTCGTCTATCATCTTAACCTCCCTAAAACTCTAGCCTGTTTACGCCTCAGAAGAAATAACAAAAAAGGGGAATAGTATACACATTGACCTTTATGCATTTGGCAGATGCTTTCATCCAAAGCAACTTATAGTATTGTATCCAAGGTATATACAATTTTACCCCATGACCTTGTTGGCGACATGATCAACTTTTTGAGCTAATGCACTTAATAAAATAGTCACATTGTGGGAAGCTGGAATTATGAAAAATAAATGTTTATGTGGTATTGGGGTGTCAGGGAGAAAACTGAATGCAGTGGAATTTTTTTTTAAAAAATTCACACTTAATTCATTAACTAATTTGAATAAGTAAATAATTATGAAAATTAATAAAAATAAATGAAACTTAAATAATTGTAATATCTCAATTTTGTGTTCTAGTAAGCAGTTTTTTAGAACAATATTCTCAAATACGAGAAATCACTTTTTATCACTAAAATTTTTATTTTAGTTTTACTCTGAGGTGGCTTCAATCAATCCCTCTGTGATCGCCTATATAAGGAATATATAGGCTATATATATCCACACCACATTTGCTTTTTGGTTATTAAATGTACACTATATAACTGTTGGCGCTCTAGCCATGAATAAACAAAACTGCATGCGTCTTGTGGAACATTGTGAAGAACTGGATCTACTTCTCTCTGTTTATGTCTATGACGAGTCATGCGGGCTACTGGGCTATTCCGCAGTGGTTGGCGTCCCTGGTGATCTAAAATTGTCTGAATATAAACACTTATTATAGGCCTTGCGTAGTGGTTTAGAATAAGACAAAAACACGGTTTGGATGATGTACTCATCACTAAATGTTACTGGGGCAAATTTTGGGAGGAAACTCACAACCTTTTGGCCTAAAAATATGTACCTATAAACTGCAGCATCCTACTGTCTCTGTATAGACTCCATGAGAGCATCTTTGTGAGTGAGCATGTTTGTGAGTCACAAGGACAGGTCCAAATCCGTCCACATGGGGTCACTGACCTGTCATTAAGGCCTCAGACATTATACTGCTGTCTCTGGCTCTAGTACTTTAAATAGCTCTCTGTTAATTTTGCAACAGAACTGAAGGAAGATATGTGTGTAGGTGATTTGAGGTTATGTGAAACACAGTTGTCACTCCCAGCCTGTGCAGTTGGGCTTCGACTCACGCAGCTGCTCTGCAAGCGCAGAAATAGTTAAAGCGTTTCAGTTATTGAGGAGTTCAGTGTCACAGATCACTGAACGTTTGTTCTCTGATCCGCTGATGTTTTGCCCCCACAGCTCCTGTCAACAGATCTCTTTTAAGTTCTCTCTTAAGGTCTGCACTAGGATTTTTTAAATAATACAAGTGGCACTTCATGTGCCTCAGAGAACCTTTGAGATTACAGGAAGGATATCATGGGGTTCAATGTGCTTGACTGCATGTGTGTGTCGAGGTGTGTGCATTAGCATGAGCTCTGTGACTCTGCATCCCTCTGAAGAGGTGACATTACACGTTAACATGCTGTGCATCGTGTCAAAGGCTGGTGTGTAGGACGTGTGTCACTGCTGAAGGTGAAGCATGACTGTGCATGTGTTAGCATACAAGAAGCACTGCTAACTCTTGTGATACAAAGCCAAACACTGGCCAGCACAGGCTTAAACCCAGCATGAAACTATATAGGTTTTACTAAACAGTCTTAAAGGGATAGTTCAACCAGAAATGAAAATACCATCATTTACATATTGTTGCAAACTATGATATTCTTTTTACTGTGAAACACAAAAGGAGATCTTTAGCTGAATGTCCAAGCTGCTCTTTTTCATAAAATTAAATTGTTTGGTGATTCATACTGTAAAGCTCCAAAAAGCTCCCCAGAATTAGCTTGGTATGAAAATCTGTCACAAAAGTTATAGACACAGTAGTGAAATTTTGCAGGGAAGAACGGTCCATTGTTAACAGTGTAGCGATGCATAAAGCTCAGCTCATACATAAGTAACATTCAAATATGGCAGCTTTCTATCTGTACGTTCACACCGCCGCCGGCGAGAGCGGCAAAATTCGCTCTCGCCGCCCTGCCAGCGACGCCGTGGAAAGATTCGTGGACGCTCTGATGCTCTGACCATAGACTGTAAAAAATAGGCTCTGACGTAGATCGAATGTTTGGTCTTTTTAAAAACTTTATTTAAAGGGGCCGTAAAGCAAACAAGCATGTCGATCGTTATTTTTGCAGAAAATTGATCGATGGAAAGAACTTAACAATTATAGTGAAATGTTTGCTAACGAAATAAACCAATTAAAAGCCATTTGTGTGGTGTGGCTTTTGTGTTCATGGTTAAGTGCTATTCTAATTTGCATTCCCGCTGAAAAACAAGTGTTCTAGCGCGAAAATCTTGCCTATAAATAGTGTTGCGCGCCTTCTTATCAAATTCAAATGATCAACCTCTCCTCTATTTTGCTTGGGAACTAATGTGGTCGGAACCAAAGTTACTTGACTGCGTTCTCTGGAATCCTCTTAAACGGAGCACTTCTGCATTCCGATTGGTTGCTGCCGAACCGCGTCATAGCTCATTACCATAAAGTTGAGCTGATTTCAACTTCTCCTCGCCGCCGTCCAAGACGCGCCGCGCCGCCCTCGCCGGAGCCATAGACAGTAAAAGAAATGGACAGAGCCATCTCATTGGAACTCAGTTGAGACAGTTGAAGCCCATTTTAGCGATTTTTGAGCACTTCCGTTCCTGACGCGCAGACTCAAACCGACTCAAACTAAGCTTGATGACGTGAGCAACCTGTCTGACAGACGTTAATCTTCTAGTAGCTGTGCCAAGAGGAATCTGAATCATTCCCTTCCGAAACTTGCAGAGCCGGAGATCGTGAGTATTAGCTGTCCATGAGCTCGCAGCAGGAGCAGCTTTACAACTCTCTATGGGCTTCTCCCTTGACTTTATGCCTCGACGTCCCCCCGATTGCGCGCGAGTTTCTACTTCTGTCTATACGGTAATTTCTGTACAGCGCGACAGAGAGTCGAGTGGTTATGACGCAATCGTTAGCCTATTTTTACTAAATCTGTTTCTACGGGGCCATAACGTAACATAGAAGGTAATGGAGCCTTTTATACATTGTCGTGTTTCTTTAGAAATAAATAATGGACAAATGGAGTCTTTAAACGCCTCAGATGTAAAGTTATTCGCTGTCAAAGTGACGCCAAAATGAATGGGAGTCAATGGAAATGCTAACGCAAGTGAAGTTCTGCTACAAGATGGCGGCACCCGGCCGACTTCAACTTCCGGTCGATGGATTACCCCCTAGGCCGGAGCTCGCCGCCGGCTCTCATTGAAAATGAATGACTTCCGGCCACTTTGACGCTCTCGCCGGCGGCGGTGTGAACGCACAGTATGTCAATGCCGTGAATCAGCTTGACCAACTGAAACCCGTTGCAAATTCTGTGAGGGAAATAATTTTGCCCTCATGCGGAATTCCCCTTGAAATGACAAAAAAGTTGGTGAACAACAGCAAATATGACCGCATCTTAATTCTGATGAACAAAGTTTGGATTGCTGAATAAAAACATATCTAAACAAAACAAAAATGTAGCTAGCTTTAACATATGATCACAGTACATTAATATATATAACTAAGTCGAAAATATAGTAATGGTCTAAATGTTATAAAATATGCTATGGTGGGGAGTGGGGACTCAAATCTGTGAACCTTTATAAGTCTGTTTATTACAAGAACCATCCAAATTAATTGATTCACTAGAATAAATCAGACTTTGAGAGAATGATAAAGTGTTTACTTATACAGCACAGGCACAACGTTAAACTGAGATTCATATCATACTGTACAACATCGTGTCCTAAGATGACCCCTTAACATGCTCTATGCTGCCCTGAGTGCAACCACGTTACTACTGTACGTGTCGGTTTCACTGAAATCCCTCCTTTATTAGATGCAAACGTGCAGTATGAGAAACACTGAGCGCTATCTCCGACTGTAGCGGTAAATGAATATTGACAGCAGCTGCAGGGATGGGAAATCATTCTAATTTAGCACTTTTGCAGATGAAGGATTTTTCTGTACAGATTTAAAGCTCCGCTTTGATGAATGTTCCCGTTTTCGTTCACATCAATATGTTTTTCTCAGAGAGCTTACCGAGTGTGTCTCTTTCCCTGTCTGAGATTGACACAAGAAAGCAAGTAATGTGCTTCTGCTGCCCTTCCAGAACAACTCCACTCTCTGACATTTCGGTCAATACAAAACCATCATGTCTCACACATACACGTAACAGTGTGTTTCAGCTGCTGTCTTCATGTATTTTCTGATTTCTCTTCCCCCAGGCTCCGACTGTTCCCGAAACTTCACCAGTCCGTCAGGTGTGATCGAGTCGCCCGGCTTCCCTGACAAATACCCCCACAATCTAGAGTGCACCTTCATCATCATCGTCCCTCCTCACATGGACGTCACCCTCACCTTCCTGACCTTCGACCTGGAGAACGACCCCTTGCAGGGCTCGGAGGGCGAGTGCAAGTACGACTGGCTGGAGGTGTGGGACGGCCTTCCGCAGGGTGAGTCTAGATGTTGTAATCCCGAAGAATTCTGTTTGGATTTACAGTCGGGGTTTGGATTAGACCGCGGTTTTCCAAAGTCCAGACCACCCGTGACTTTAAGAGGATTGCATTTCCCATTTCCCATTTCCCTCTGACCTCATTGTCTGCTTTGAGATCATTATGTTGCGTGTCTGCCGTGCATAATTTGGTCACTTAATGATTTCTAATCCACATACCGTTCACTATCACACTATATGGGCCATCTGGTTGGTTTATCCACCAGTCTATACAGCTGTTCGCTCTTTGCCCTGTGACACGCAACACCCGTCCGTTGGCCACTGCGCTAGCAGCTCCGCCGGTATGAAACTCAGGCGCATTGCTGTCATGCTGTTACTGCGGCTGCCGCTGGAGCTATTTTAGTATCGAGCGTTGGCAGATGAAAGCGGAGCCCAGGGCCTTGCTTTGCCTTATCTGCGCCAGGCGGGGCCAAAAAGCCACGGCACCCGTACTCTTCCGCACGGAGGGGTGGAGGAGATGGGGGACGGGGGGTAACAGCAGCCATGGTAACCTTTATCAGGAAAGTGAAAATGGGGCGTGAATAACACTGCAATAGGATTTAATCCTTGTCTGGAACAGAGAGCTGTGGAATACGCTCTTTTCCCCCAGCTGTCTTATTAATGCTTCAGCCCTGAGACCCCCGTACTGCCCCCACCCTCGCCCTTCTGCTTCTGGGTAAAGCTTCATATTGTAGCATTGGACATGCACATATAATCAGACGCACAATAACTATAGACACTAAAACACAACAGTATATTTAAGGTGGTCTATAAACTCTAAGCAGCTTGACCAAGATTATATTCATTGTAATTTGAAAACAAACAAAAAAAGCCAGACATATTATTTAAACTGTAATGTGCTTCTATGCTATTTTGTACTACCTAATCCTTATGCATTACTGTTATGAAAATATGGTGAAAAGTATGTTTAATTGAGCACCATCATCTTCATTTGCCTTATGAAAAATATATACTTTTATAATATAGTCTACTTAATATTATAATATTTCCAGTATGTTTAATATATTTTCGCCATGAAAAGGGAAGCCTATTTTTACATTTAATTGATTTTATTTATAAAAATGTGAAAAATATAGTGAAAAAATGCTTAATTGTTCTTAATCATTGTAATTTTCCTTATATGCACTACTTGTAATTATGATTATGATTTTATGAGATATGCAAATATAGTGGAAAATATGCTTAAATATGCTAAAAGTATGCACATTTTTCCTTGTATGTATGTGTATATATATATATATATATATATATATATATATATATATATATATATATATATATATATATATATATATATATATACACATATACATATATACACTCACCGGCCACTTTATTAGGTACCCCATGCTAGTAACGGGTTGGACCCCCTTTTGCCTTCAGAACTGCCTCAATTCTTCGTGGCATAGATTCAACAAGGTGCTGGAAGCATTCCTCAGGGAGTTTGGTCCATATTGACATGATGGCATCACACAGTTGCCGCAGATTTGTCCGCTGCACATCCATGATGCGAATCTCCCGTTCCACCACATCCCAAAGATGCTCTATTGGGTTGAGATCTGGTGACTGTGGAGGCCATTTTAGTACAGTGAACTCATTGTCATGTTCAAGAAACCAATTTGAAATGATTCGAGCTTTGTGACATGGTGGAAGTAGCCATCAGAGGATGGGTACATGGTGGCCATAAAGGGATGGACATGGTCAGAAACAATGCTCAGGTAGGCCGTGGCATTTAAACGATGCCCAATTGGCACTAAGGGGCCTAAAGTGTGCCAGGAAAACATCCCCCACACCATTACACCACCACCACCAGCCTGCACAGTGGTAACAAGGCATGATGGTTCCATGTTCTCATTCTGTTTACGCCAAATTCTGACTCTAACATCTGAATGTCTCAACAGAAATCGAGACTCATCAGACCAGGCAACATTTTTCCAGTCTTCAACTGTTCAATTTTGGTGAGCTCTTGCAAATTGTAGCCTCTTTTTCCTATTTGTAGTGGAGATGAGTGGTACCCGGTGGAGTCTTCTGCTGTTGTAGCCCATCCGCCTCAAGGTTGTGCGTGTTGTGGCTTCACAAATGCTTTGCTGCATACCTCGGTTGTAACGAGTGGTTATTTCAGTCACTGTTGCCCTTCTATCAGCTCGAACCAGTCTGGCCATTCTCCTCTGACCTCTGGCATCAACAAGGCATTTCCGCCCACAGAACTGCCGCTCACTGGATGTTTTTTCTTTTTCGGACCATTCTCTGTAAACCCTAGAGATGGTTGTGCGTGAAAATCCCAGTAGATTAGCAGTTTCTGAAATACTCAGACCAGCCCTTCTGGCACCAACAATCATGCCACGTTCAAAGTCACTCAAATCAACTTTCCTCCCCATACTGATGCTCGGTTTGAACTGCAGGAGATTGTCTTGACCATGTCTACATGCCTAAATGCACTGAGTTGCCGCCATGTGATTGGCTGCTTAGAAATTAAGTGTTAACGAGCAGTTGGACAGGTGTACCTAATAAAGTGGCCGGTGAGTGTATATGCATACATTTTTACTACTTAATATTATAATATTTTGAATGTGCAATAACACTTTATTTTACAGTATCCTTGTTACATGCGTTGCATGTACTTACCATAGTAATAACAGTAAAGTATGCATAATTACATGCAACTAACCCTCAACCAAATCCTAATCCTACCCTAACCATATAGTACATGTAGTTGCTTAATATTACTCAGTACTTAAATATATAATTACACTGCAACAATGACACCTTAAAATAAAGTGTAACTGAATGTGCTTTTATATTTCTTGCTTTGAAAAAGGAAATCTTTTTTTACATTTTCCTGATTTCATTTACATTTACTTTATTTATTTAGGAAATATGATTTTTAGGGAGACTGTAAGCAACTTTCGACAAGCAAGATTCACATACACAGATGGAGTCCTGATCAAAGTTATGTACAATATCCACCTGATTTGATCATCAACACCATCAAAGGCGAGAGGGAGAGTTATTTCAACCTACCGTTCGAAAGCACTTGCAGTATTAAAGCCCTTTCCTCTCCAAAAGAGAAGAAAATCAATGTACTTGATTGATACTAGGCTATTTCACCCATCCGGGACTCTGTGTGCGTGTGTGTGTGTGTGTCAGGGTGGAGGATGGATTCATTACTGTGAGACAGCAGCCTCTCTACAGCATTACAGCCTGACCAAACTAAATCACATACATCGGCTGACAGATAAATGTCCCAGAATTCAGAGAGGTGCTGTTGTATAGGTTGTAGGCACATATAAATAATACCCAGTCTAGTCTTATGAGTGGCCAGCTGGAGCAAAATGAGACCCATTCACATCCCAGCACTGAGAAACCATTTTTGTGTTTTGCAGTGGGACCTCTGATTGGACGACATTGCGGTACCAAAATCCCCTCTGAAATACAGTCGTCCACTGGTATCCTCTCTCTGTCCTTTCATACGGACATGGCCGTGGCCAAAGATGGATTCTCTGCCCGCTACAACATGACCCTCAAGGAGGTCAATGACAGTATGTGATCTTTTTTGCTTTCGACTTTGAAGAAAGCTTTGAAATTTGAAAACTTGGTTGGCTAGTAATAAAGAAACTATCTACATTGAAGCTGTTTAAGAGGGTGTCTTTATAAAACTCTGTGTTCCTTAGATTTCCATTGCAGTAATGATCTTGGCATGGAGACGGGCAAGATCAGCGATGACCAGATCTCTGCATCGTCCAGCTTCTATGATGGCCGATGGTCTCCAAGACAGGCTCGACTTAACTTCGAAGACAACGCATGGACGCCCAATGAGGACAGCAACAAAGAATACATCCAGGTGAGGTTTCCTCTCTTTCGCTCGCTCATTTGTGTCTTCTGCACATCCACATTAGGGAGAGATGATACACAGGGCAACTTTTTGAGCAATGTTGCTGGGCAATCTTGCCGAGCAATTGTTGCTTGGGCACTTTCCCATTGAAATTGAAATTGAAATAAAATTCTATCTGGATAATTTAGATCGGTCGTGGGCCATGTGTCTCATCTGGTTGCCCGTTGACAGCAACATTGCCCAGCAACATTGCTCAAAAAGTTGCCCTGTGTATCATCACCTTGAGGAACAAGTTCCCGTCGCTCTTTTGCAAACTTATTTACAATCTCGAAAAGGCTTGTGAATGGACAGACAGATTTAAGATTTCTGATTCTGGCAGGATGCCGCTCGGGTTAGGTGCTACACCAGGCCTTTAGGATGAGACTGATTACTTTTGGTGTTACTTTAAGTGGTGTGTCGTATTTGTGTCAGGATGCTGCTGAATTGTGGGCTTCTGGTAGAGCTCACAGCTGTTGTGTTGTGTTAACACCTGACATCACTCCCTCGCTCTCAGGGTCCACGGCCCAGACATCCATCTTGACAAACAGCTGTCGTAAATGCCAACATGCCCGAGGACCATACTTCACCTCAGACGCCTCTGCTCTGTTGTGTGTGTGTGTGTGTGTGTGTGTGTGTTCAGAGTGAGAGGCGTCATTATGTTTTAGATGTGTACATGCATTTGAGATTCGAGTATCATTGATATTCATTAAAATCACCCAGGGTAAATTGACTGATCAAGGTACCTTAAAGGAATGCTCTGGGCGTAATACAAGCTATCTGTTGTGGAAAGCATCTGATGTGCCACTGTAAGGCACTTGCAAGTTGCAGCCCATAGAGTGGTGCAGGTATGGCGAAGTCGAATTCGCAGCTGGTTACTTCGAGATTTTCCTTTGAGGTTTTTGTAATGGGGTTTTTTCAATTTATGTGTAAAATAAAGCCTGTGGTAAACATAACTTGACGATACTTTGACGTTTTTTTCTATAATGTAAACTGCACATTCTCACACTCCAAACTGTCTTATCTAGTTATTTATTAAAAGCGTACATAACTGCTTGAAAATATGCGTTTTCGCTATGGGTGTGTGTAATTTACATTGTAGAAATAAAAACGTCAAAGTATAGTCAAGTTATGTTTACCACAGGCTTTATTTTACACACAAAACGAAAACCCCCCATTATAAAACCCCATAGGAAAATCTCAAAGGAAGAACCCAGGACTTCTGGGTTCTAATGTCATACTTGCACCACTCTATTGTTAAAAAAATAAATATAATAGCCCCAAAACGGCCGTACCGTATTATTTATTTTATTTTATTTTTATTTTTATTTGCCAAATATAATTAAAACTGTAAGGCACTTGCAGTTTTGGGCTAAATGTTAATGAATGTTCTATTCTATTCTATTCTATTCTATTCTATTCTATTATATTATATTCTATTATATTATATTATATTATATTATATTATATTATATTATATTAAAATAGGACTATTGAGATCACTCACTGACCTTGCTTGTGCTAATTTATATTAAATTTTTCAGCTCAATATTATGACCATGGTAAAGCCGATAACTTTTGCATGACACTCAATAATACTCTTTTTTTTTTTTTTTTTACTGAGGGACGACATAATTTTCTCTTCTGTGGTAATCAACATGATTCCACAGATGCTGATGAGAGAGTTTAACTTGTTTTGAACCCAGAACATCTCTTTAACATCTCATCACATCTTCTTGCGTGCCATTTTCCCATTGTTTCTCTCCCTCTCTTTTTATTACTATTCATCAGGGACTCACTTCTCAGACGTGGTAGACTGCATCTTTCTCTCTCTCTCTCTCTTGTTCTGGTCTCTGGGCGAATGCAGGGGTTGATGATGCACAGCCTGCTCTGATGGTAACAGCCACTTGATTGATGAGGGTCCTTTCCTAGGAATAAATAGTTAGCAGCAGTCCTGGGTTCTATTGATTTTTTTGTCTAGGTGTGTTTCTCCGTGGCCCTAAGCAGCTTTACAGAAGGCACTATATGTGTGTGTGCTTGTATCTGTGTGTGAAAGCCACACCTGTCTCACTGACAGATAACAAACGCTGCAGTTTTCCCGCTCATGTTCGGATGACATCCCGCTGAGCAGGGAGAGCCGAGGATCATGGGTAACAGCCCTCCTCTAGGACGGGAGCTGAATGCCTGATTAAAGACCTCACTGCGGTAGAGGCGGACGGGCAGAGATGCGGCTCTCGCACCGCAATCATCATCATCATCATTGTCATGGCGGGGGGGTCCGGTGAGCAAGGGAGGGTGATAATCTGTGTGGAGAAAGGGAGAGTTGAATGAAGGTGGTTAGTATCGATCAGAGCTCAGGTGATTGATCTTAAGACTCTGATAACACCTTCGCTGCCGCCCATGATCTGCAGGGAGGGGATGCTTCATATTCCCACAGCTCCATCTATCTTTCAGCTCTTCCCTCTATCTCCTCCCTCTCTCTGCTTCCTTGCTTATCTCCCTCCCATCACTCCTTGGTTTTAGCGCGGATTGCTTAGAAAACAACAGCTAAATTAAAACATTTTGTACACATGTACATTTTTATTTCAGATTTAATGTTAAATTATATCAATTAACACACTGACTTAATGTTAAAGACACAAACTAAAACTAAATAAACTGAAATTATAAAACACTGGAAAAACTAAAACAGTCGCACAGTTAAAACTAATGGCAACTTGATTAAATGTACAAACTGAAAAAATCAAATAAAAACAAATTAAAAACTGTAAAACCTTGGCTCATATTTAGGGTTAGGGTTTTGTTCGAGTCTCTTATTCTAAGCTTGAAACTCTTCAAGCAACAAGCGTATCATCCGTCCACACTAGTCGTGAAACTGCTGAGTGACATGACACAATCACAACCAATCCGAAGTCATATGAAGCTGGATTTTGGATCAATGAGATCTCACGGTGGGCGGGACTACTTAATTCAACCTGCAGAAATAGAAACAAAATGTCCTGTCACAGTTATTTAAGACAAATCCCTTAATCACAAAAGAGATTTGATTACAATTTTGCATTTTTCCTCCTCAGGTGGACCTACACTTTCTGAAGGTCCTGACGGGCATCGCCACCCAGGGTGCCGTCTCCAAAGAGACACACAAGACCTACTTCGTCACCAGCTTTAAGCTGGAGGTCAGCACTAATGGAGAGGACTGGATGATCTACCGCTACGGCAAGAATCACAAGGTACAATCACACGGGAATGGCACATTTGAGAATGTGTGAAAGATAAAGCAGTCAGTTGTTCTCTCTCGTCCTGTGCTGGTTATCTATCAGAAATATGTGATGTACTGTCACACGCATGTGTGTGAGACTCAGAGAACGAGAAAAGAACTGAAAAGACTACAGTAGAGGTGATAATATTATTTCGTTTTACCAGTGTATAGTTGCAGTGGTGGGTTAGCTAAAATGCTGGTGTTCCCCTCAAACTTAATTAACTAGCTTAACTCCCAAGACTTCCACAAGAAAGATTATGCTGGTCACGCATAAACCAGCCTGAACCAGCATAGAAGTTCATGCCAATGTTCTTTACAAGTGAACAGACATATTTGAAGGCTTGAGTGAAAGGAAAATGAAGGGAGGTCAGAAAAAGATGAGAGTGTAAAACTAATCGTCCCGTGTAGTACATGCCTCTAATCTTAATTTATTAACAAATTCCCTGGAAATCCTGTATGGAGTTGATTACATGACAGGGGAACATGTGAAAGCTCTGATGTTAGTGTGATGGTTTTGGAAGAAGCTGTAAAAAACATCAGCTGCCACTGAGAATAACCTGCTGGATACAACCCTGTCCCTGGGTACCACCAACTGGCGTTAGGGTCTTTAGTCCTGGACCCCCTGCTGAAATAGCCTCTGGCTTTAATCTTCCCGAAAATCTCTGAGCTCAGTCCTCCCTTAATGTGCTCTGTGTTTTTACGGCTTTGGTTTCAGTTGGGCTAAGCTTTGTTAAGAAGTCTCGCTGTGTCGGAATGGGAGATTCACGCCTTATGGGAGACGTGACAGATCAGTGTCCATTTGGAAATTGTACTATTAAATAATGTTCTATTTATTCATATGCCTGGAAGAAATGTATTTTTATGTCAGCAGCTATCTAGCAAGATGCCTGTCATGCAGACTGAATGCGCTCAGGCATGGCTTTTTTTAATATCGCCAAATACCAAAATATAGATTAACAGGAAATAGTGTGTCGGCGTTGAAATGAAAATGTAAATTTGCAATAGTTAAACAGTTTTGCATGTGAGTGTCATGTAAGCGGACTCAGACAGGTTATTATTTTTCAGTGCTGTGTGTTGATCATTAGGTTTGATAGCACCACATCAGGCTCTAATCGGTCTCAAATTATGGTGGTGGGTGTGTGTGTGTGTGTCCCTGGTCCAGAGGACACTGACAGATTGTGTGTGTTTATGGACAAACAGGAAGAGCTGCTGAAGAGATCACTGTAGGCTGGTGGCTGATAGTCTCATTGTAAGTGTGTGTGGTGTAAGTGTGTTATCAGCAGAGCTGGGCTTAATTTCTTCTCAAACCGCCGTGGCGATTCTTTCTGTTCACTACTAGATTACCTGCAGCACACTCATTCAGTCACTGCTAAATCAGATCTGATAAGATGATCTAACACACACACACACACACACACACACACACACACACACACACACACACACACACACACACACACACACACACACACACACACACACACACACATAGCTCTGTTCCAAAACTTTCCTGTGTATAAAAGCAGGTACAGTATGAGGCAGCAGTGTAACATCATATGTGACTGATTTGAAACACTCTACACACAGCAAAAAAAATGTTTATATATATCATGTTGCTAAGCTAACTACTAATCCACTAATGAGCACATGCAGGCCATTTTTAATTAGCTTGAACATTTTACATGAATACTTTTATTCAGCATGGACACATTAAATTGATCAGTAAAGACATCTATAAAGACAGTAAAGACATCTATGTCACAAAATGTTTCTAATTCAAGTAAACACTGTTCTTTTGAACTTTCAATTAATCGAAGAATCCAAAAAAAAAGAGGTCAAATCACAGTTTCCACAAAAATATTGATAATGAAGACTGATAATGATGAGAAATGTTTCTTGAGCAGCAAATCAGCATTTTAGATTGATTTCTGAAAGATCATGTGACACTGAAGACTGGAGTAATAATGCTGAAAATTCAGCTTTGCCATTATAGAAATAATTGACTTTTTGAAATACATTTAAAAATCTTACCGATCCCAAACTTTTAATGCACTGATTTATGGGATTGCCACCTCTGTGAAGGATACATACAATGCTGCCTTAGAATTTGGCCAAAAACCACACATCTTAGAAGACAACATATTTATGCATATTTATACGTTTTGGAACAGGTATATATATCAAATATTTTAACCGGGAGGGCAGCTATGATGCCGTCAAATACTGTCTAGCTTTGGAGCAGAGCTACAAATTCATATCTCTTTCATTGTTAACCTAGCACAGCACACACATACACAGAAACACATGCATATATAGCCAATCCCACATTTCCACACATTTCCTCCTGAGACTATCAGATAAAGCCATCAATGTAATGACAGAATTATTTTCTCAAACATACTGTTTCAAATTGCAAGGAGGTCGAAAGGTCTCAATCCTATTTCCACTGGTGGGGAAAATGAGTGTGTCCCTTATGTAAGATCCCACACATGCTCCTAAGGTCCGCAATGGTCGTTTTAAGCAGCCTGGTCATTGACCGAGATCATTATGAAGGTCTGGTAAATTCCTTGCTTATTTAACAATACCATCAAGGGGTTTATATAGGGAGAGAGAGCATATGGTATGTCTGTTTACGTGTAAAATCCTGAGGCGAAGCAACCGAGAGCGCTGTCATGGGAGATGACATCAACTCGGACTTCAAAACAGCAGACTGACAGATTCGTCCGTCTCTGTGCATTCCTCCGCTTCACATGGAGCGCGTGGATAATGGAAGACCGCTGCCAGATCCCGGGAGGAATCCGCTGTTCTTTGGGAGTGTACCACTGAGGGTTTAACCTTTAGTGATGTCATAGACTAGAGAATAGATGCTCTTTGAGTCGAGTCGTCTGCATGAAGCACAGGCAGAATGTGAGACGGAAGGTGTTCAGTGAACTGAGGAAACCGTTTCACACATACTCAAAGAAAAATACACAGTTACCTGTCTTTAGTGGGGTCGTGGAAATGTGGTTTTCATTCACTGTGACAAATGGTGGTTTTAGAGGAAGCATTTACACCTCTGAGGGTCATAAAATATATCATCTGTTCTTCCAATTACTGTGTGCACTGATTCCAAGTTGACTTAAAGCAGCAGTGTGTCGTTTCTACGCTGCTAGCTACACCAAAATTTAAGCAGAATTGCAAAAATGATGTACGTTTCCAAACAAGTTTCCCAAACACTCCCACATTTGCTGATTCCCTTGACAAAAATTCAATTGGTTTTTCCCATTGGCTTTTGGATTACAGAAGTTTTTGACCAACAAAAGTTTATGATTCTTACACGTTTTGCTCATGTTTTAAGTTTTGAAGCTTAAAGCAACACTAAGTAAGATTTTTTACCTTAAAATAATGTTTCCAAAATCGTTTCAGTGGTTCATTAAGTCGTAACAGGGTGAAAGGCACTTCTGGATTCGCTTTGCGGTCCTATATCTGCTATAACCACGCCATGTAAGATTGCCAGATCGGGTCGCGTTTCTGTAGTTCTAATGAGACTTAAGAAAACTACAAATTTGACTTGCTTTACGTCAAGCGTTACAATAGTCATTATTTAGTTTTTCTTCGTTTCTGATGTCGCAATACATCATACTTTCATGAAATCATGCAACATACTCTACCTTGTCTGTGGACATCGTTCATTCCAAAGCCGGTGCTGGATCAACAACGAGCGTGCGTGCGACAGTAGGCTGTGGTAGGCTAAATTATTTACGGCAGCGGTAATGGACAATTCCGCTTACAACCTGAAGGGCGACCGCAGAGGAAAAGTTACTTGGTGTTGCTTTAAATACAGTTGCCCAAAGCCAGTTATCCTATAAACGAACTTCACCATATACCTTCCAACAACTCTTTCAGTCTTCATTTAAAGTTGGAAAGTTTGAGTTAGAATAATTTGCAAGAGTTTGATTGTAAACACAACTTTTGTAGTCCTGTTTAGGCACTTGTTGACAACCACATTTTCAAGACACATTTACATTTTTACATTTACATTTAGTCATTTAGCAGACGCTTTTATCCAAAGCGACTTACAACTGAGGACTAAACCAAGCGAGTCATCGTGAAGAGGCAAAAACAATGCAAGAAGTGCTCAAAATACAAAGTTCAGACATTGCTCGGAGTAGCATAAGCCAGACAAGCGAGGATTTAAAGGAAAAGGAAAGAAAGTGTTTTTTTATATATATATATTTATGTTAAGTGCTTTATGTTAAATTTATGTTTATGTTCATGTTATATTTTTTTATATTTATGTTAAGTATATTTATGTTAAGACACGTAAAAGCTTACAAAATCACGAGTGGGTTATTACTAGTGTATTTATTTTAATAGAATAAAATATAAAAATATCTGAAGCTTTTGTTAACCGCAGACCTTATTTCAGGCATTTAACCAAAAACTCATTTAAAAAAAAAAAAACATTGATTTTGAGAGGATGGAACCATAAGTGCAAGAATGCTTATTTCCTGATTTTATGACTAGATCAAGATCAGATCAAATGAAAAGAGGTTCTGTACTTACAGTTGTTTGTGTACATGTAGCCGGGATAGGAGAAAGTGTTGTAACAGAAATTTCCAGTGTTTTTTTCTGAAACACAGTGGGGAAGGTAAAGCGAGGAGGGAGGGTTTCCACATTCCAATCTCTCCAACTCAATCTCACATGCAGACTGGGAATTAAGAGGAAAGCAGGAACCAAATCAATATTCTACACTTTTTCCCTCTGAACAGGATTTACTCTGTACATTGTAATCCACAAGATGAGCTTCCACACTAAATTTGTTTTTTTTTGGAGGGATTTTAATGTTTTAGATTTGCATTTTAAATCACTTAAGTTTTTGATGCATGCTTAGTATTCGTCAAAGATATCACCAGTATTTAAAATTCATAACCTATCACAAGCCTTTCTAGACAATAAACAGCTCCACTCATATGTCATATGGCAATCAGC